ACTACTACTACTACTACTACTACTACTACTACTAGTACACATACTTAATACTAAAACTAATACTGATACTCATACTAGTCACTAATACTAATACTAATACTCATTCTAATACTAATACAAATACCAATACTAATGCTACCACTACTACTGCTGTGCGACAACTATTGCTAGTACGACGACTACTACTATTAACATCAATACACATACTTAATGCTAATACTAAGAGTAATACTAGTTCGAATACTATTACTCATACTAAACATCCTAATATCAATACTTCCACAAAACTAATACTAATGCTAACACTGATACAAGAATTAAGATCTACAAACAGTAATAGTGGTACGAAGAGCAGAATTGAGATTAAGATTGGGACTAGGAGCGCTGCATGCGTGTGAAGAAATTTCCAAAAATTGCAAGCCATCTAAAAGAACATTTTGGAATTGAGTTTGGGAGAAGTGTCTGTCGCCTATCCGTTGACAGATCCTGCCTGGGGACGCACGCCACCCTTCCCCTTCCCCACGACGGTCTGTCATGGGGGGGGGGGTGAGCATATATATATATATATATATATATATATCGCTGTAGTTATTATTAGTAGTATTAATAATATCCTCAATGTAACCCTGAAGCTAAGGCAGGGTCAAGTTTGAGTCATTGAGGTCTGGATTGAAATGCCCTAAATCCTAAACCCCAAACCCTTAAGTCCCAAACTGCCAAACCATTTCACGGCTGCTCATAGAGTGGCAGAGGCAGTTTTAGCAATCGGAGAGGAAGTCCCTGCACCAAGTTTCAGCTGAAGTGATTAGCCCTGAACCCTGACTTGAGTGGTTGCCAAAATTAGGGAGGCATAGGGTTTCAGGATTTTAGACTGTTTCAGAGAATTGAGGTCCCAGCAACTCCCACAGGAAACCCCAAAGATCCCAAATTCCACATCGTAAGGGTTTGGGGATGCGGGGTTTTGGGGGCCCCTGCAGTCTCACCCCCCAAAAGGCAAATTGAAAAAAGGTAGCTAAAGGCCTGCATTGAGCTCCAGATAGTTGGAATATGGAGAAAGGATGATAGGGGCTACTGCCACAGTCCGTATGCTGCACCAAAGAGAATGAAGTTTCTATTTGGGGCTCGAACAAGGGGTCAGAAGTGATGCCTTCATCTTCCCAAAACAAGTACACGATTAGTTTGCCCGCAGAAGTCATTCTACCAAATCAGGCCTCAGTGTTGATGATTTCTGAGGTGAGTCTGGTCCACCTCGAAGGGGTGACCTCTGAATGCTTGCCAGAGGCCGTGTCTACTAGTAGCCGACGCAACTTGACGAATGCACAGGGGGCACCTCGCCAAGCATCAGTCATGGTGGTGTTCGGGATGTCCAGGGATGTCTCGGGTGAGGTTTCAACACAAAAAAACAGTGTTTAGACTTTTGGACCTGGGGTTGTTAGGCAAAGGTTTTGGGATTCCGGATGCTTTGCGGCTTATGTGTAGCTCACGGTAGAAGTCTTCCGTTGCCGTTGCACAACTCTTCTACCACTGGCCTTCAGTACGTATATATATATATATATGTAGAGATATGGATACATAGCACAAACCTAAAGCCTAGGATGCTTATGATAATTGCCACTACTACGTCAAGCCAATCCATCCCAGCTCCGACATTCCAAAACGGCCTCAACGCTGTAAACCCCTAAAATCCCGCTGCAACCCTTTTTGAATCATGAATCCCTCAAATGCTGAGTCCCATACCCAAAGCATTCACGTTTGCGTGCGCTTGGAGTTTAAGGTTTTGGGCTTCAGGTTTAAGGCCCACGGGATGTAGCTAAGCCCCTAAACCCTAAGGTCCATATACACTAACATTATGGTATTAGGTCCGAAAAGACCATCCCGATTATGGTTTGGGGGCCCTAATTCCATAAAAGGAGTATATACATGACCCTCTTGGTAATTAGTGTTCACGGCTTTATAGAGTATTTACAAAGGGATTGGGTTTAGGGTTGGGGTTTAGGTTTTCGGATATGGGCCAAGATCCGACATGCTGCAACCCTAACCGTAACCCAAGACACAATCCGCGAAGAAAGCACACATCGTGACCCTGCTCATCTACACCGAAACCGAAAAGAAACGCGCCCTAAACCCTAAACCCTCAGCCAAAGCTTGCCATCCGCGCATCGTCGTATCAGGGCACAGGCATGTCCGACAGTTTAGGAGAGCGTTCGAGAAGTGGGTGTAGAGGTTATAGGGTGTTGGCAATGTCTGGCTGTCAGAAGCAGGTGTGTAGCCGAATTTGGAGGCAGACTTGTTTTCCTACACCTTCAGTCCGAAGTTGCCAAAGCCCCAACTCGAAAGCTGTAGCCCCGCAAGGAATCGTACCCGCTCGTGGTGCTTCAGGACCTGAATGTGGAACTGTTGGTGCTTTTCAGTGAGATCCTGGGATGGCCTTAGCTGCGGCAATTACACCCTACCTGGATCCCGTTCAACCTTCCTTTTTCGGGTTCTTATTGATTTCCGTATACAAGTCCGTGAAGAAAAACGTAGGTCTTCCGGAAATCTAGGTAAATCCGGAACCCTACTGAACTACTCAGGCGACCTAATACGCAAGGCTACAAGTACCCCAACTGGCGATACAAGCACGTATACCGTGCGCACAACTCCTCTGATCCGTGGAGCAGGGTGGAAGCACAGCTTGGAGGTTCATGGGTGGTTATGCTTAGCGTTGTAAGTAGGAGAACTACACTTGCAACTTTTGCTAGGGAACTTGGTAACCCCACAACATGACTGACTACCCTATATAAACCCCTATACCCCCAAACCACCCTTAAGACCCACTCAAACACACCCACGAACCTCCAAGCAAGCCGTACCTTACGGACCAAATTTCTCGTTAAAGTAAAGCCCATATATCCCACCACTGTGAATTCCGATGTGCCTGAACCTTAATACCGTTTGGGGCACCCTAAACCCTAAAACTTAAACCCTACACCTTCACCCTAAACCCTACTTGGAGGCTCACGGGTAGTTATATGTGGAGTTAAAAGTCCCCTAACATAGGTGATAAGTGTAGCTATCCTACTTTTAACACTACTTATAACTACCCAACCCACACTCTTACCCGAAAACATAAACCTAAACCCTAAACCCTGCACCCTTAGCCTACACCCTAAGCTCTGAGGCCCGTGGTCTTTTGCATATCGGCTTCCAGGGCATTTGCTGAGCTTTCCAAGGGCAGAGAGAGAGGAGTCTCAGGGTTCCGGGATAGGGTTCTTCGGTTGATAGTGTAAATCCTTCAAAGGGGAGAAGGAGGGACCCTTAATGGGGACCCCTACCCTATAATGGGCTATATAATGGGTATATATTAGCTATATTAAGGGTATATACCTAGGGGTCCTTCTTAAGGGTCCCTCCTTGTACCCTTGGAATCCTGCATCACCCATAACAAGGAATATACCATGATTTCCAAAGTTTAGGGTCATTGCAGTGCTGCAGGGTTTTTTATCATCAACCGTTAGGATCCTTGGAACGCGTACCATGAGGGATGCTCTAAGGGTGTTATGATAGCGACCTTGATGATTACAAGATGATATTGGGGGGGGTACATTACTGTGTAATCTTAAGGCTGAAACATCCTAGTAGTAGCCCTTTAACCTTTTTTGGGTAGTATGGTCCCTATATAGTCCCTATATACCCAAGAAGGTTAACCTATAGTTCCCCATGATTCCCGACAAGTAGGACAAGTAAAGGAATTATGGTACCATACCATACTTAATGTAATGCAGGATTTTGTCCTAAACCCTAATTCCTAAACCCAAAACCCTATTTCCCAAACCCTAATTCTTCAACCCTAAAACTTAATTCCTTGTACCATGTGGACTTCGGATTTTGGGCCTGGGCTGAAGAGTCAAACTGCCCTGGAGGGCGTCCGATTCCTCCGCAAGCCGAGGATCATAAACATCTTGATCGAAGAAGTTCTCGGCTACAATGATCCTTGGCTTGTTTGAATCCCAGCTGTTCAGTAAGCGGGACTAGTCTCCTATTCTGAAAATGTCCCACAGTACAACTCGCCTAAACCGTAAAGCACTGAAACCGATTCAGGCTTTCGTGCAGGCCCTAAGGCTCAAAATGGCCCAAGAGCCTTATGCAGTATGGTCTTTGGCCCCAAAAGCCTTAATATATGAGTCCTTAGAGCCTTAGGGAGGGTTGTTCCATGGCTAGACACGAAGCCCGACGCCCCGAACCCTGAGTTCCGTGAACGCCGAACCCCAAGCTCCACTGGTCTTACAGGCACCTTTGCTCAACTCTGAGACCATGACAGCCTTGAACCCTAAGCCCTGAACCCTAAACCCTAAGCCCTGAACCCTAATTACACCCTAAACCCCTAAACCTTAAACCCTAAGCCCCGAACCCTAAACCCTAAGCCCTGAACCCTTAACCCTGAATCCATACGTGGTCGGCGTCAGGATGCTGAATACGGACTGAATCTCAAAGCCGCTGAAGACAGTGGAACTGCATAAAAGCTGAGTTATTGATGCTATGGACCCCCATATATGTACACATATATATATATATATATATATATGTATATTAAAGATCTATTTGCATTCCTTTTTGCATTTCCATTTTCTGTGTGGAGGTTATTTACATATGAAGTCATTCCTTTGTTTATATGTACCTGCAGTTTTACTTGTGGTTATATGGCTTCATATTTATATAGTCAGGTAGTAATCTATTTTGCTTATTTACATCAGATAGACTTGTATATACATAACACTTCACGTAATACAACACATGCATACCACGGCATACTTTCCCTTGAAGTACCCTAATACAGCTTACAGCCGACATTAAAACCTTTCAGCCCTAAACCCTAAACCCTAAACCCCTAAACCCTAAACCGTTTAGGGTTTTTTCACGGGCAATGCAGACCAAAGTGCCAGATCAATTCGCACGCAACGAGGGAAAAACACCTCTTGCTGGGTGCAGCCCTCAAAAAGGGTTCGAACTCTGTACAAAAACTACGACGGCTCATCGCTCACTGGGGGCGTTAAGGTAGCCCACCAGGGCGATGGCCCTTCCACTCGGACGGCAGGTTGCCACGCATAATCATGTGCCGTAGGAGCGGGTGGGTCAGCATCTATATCAGATGCCGCGTAAACAGCCCTACACTGACCCGACTTACGCAGGTGTTCTGTAAGGCGTCGTAAGGACCAATGCTCAACCTTGCATTTCTGGCACGTTGTGCCGAAGGCGCATCGGATCTGTGTGGGTCGGCGCCCGTGATGTTTTGACATATGCACCGCCAGTTGGCGTCTGCCAGCAAAAGCTTGGGGGCAAAGGGAGCATGACCAGGGCAGGTCCGGTCCCTCAGCACGCACCACAGCCGGGACATCCGGGTCCTCTCGAGCCACCAGGTCCCTCCGGTCGAAGGTGCGAGCAGCACAGCAGCGGCGAAGGAAGCGACGACAGAGACGGGACACTTCTCGGGATGAAGTTGGCATGGCATCCAGAAGTTCATCCACATTGGCAACCTGGCCCTGCAGCAACCCTACATCTATGGCAGCAGCGACGGCGGAAAGCCACCACTCCCCATCAGTATGCAGGCAGCGAAGCACTGGTCTTAAACCGGCCCGACAGAGATCAGCAAGCACCCTGGCCCGTGCAGTGGCGAGGAGCTCATGGGGAAGAGCAAGACCAAGGATGGTCGCAACTTCTTCGTTTGTGTAACCTGTGCTCGACACCGAGAGGATGGGTCTGAAGGCGCCTCTGTAGAAGCGGGAGATCACGTCCGTAAACTTCGTTTTTTCGGCTGTAGAGCGCAGGGTTAAGAGCCCTGCGCCGTGCATGAACGAAGATATCACGCGGCTGCAAAGCAGCTGGATCTTTTCCGGCTCGGTGAGGTACGGGTTGTAGAGCAGCTTTTTGCGGATAGGCCCGTACATGCTCTGAGCCTGGCGCTCCCTGTGACATATCGCCGGCAAGTCGTTGCCGTCAGCCCGCAGCACACATCCCAAGTGTGTGTAGGTAGGGACAAGGCGAACCCTGCAGGGGCCAGTTGGCCCCTGGAAAACGACACCCGGGTCTGCCGAGGACAGAAGCCTTCTGCGAGTTTCCTGCGAACCGGTGCCATGAATGACGGCAATGCATTCCGTCTTGCCGCGCCCTAAGTTCGCCTCCAGGCCTTGCCTTCGCATCCCTAGGGTGACGACTTGCATAATTGTTTGCAAGGCTGGCTCGAGATCGGCAGGGCGCCTGACCTGAAACAAGATGCACACGTCGTCCGCCCACGTGGGTTCGGACGGAGGCGTCTCACCAGCAGCGCAGTAGGCGGCAAAAGCCTGGCAGCCAAGGTTGGCTAGGCACTCGTTGACGCGATGTAGCAGGCGGTGAAAGACAAGGCCAAAGAGAAGATCGGCCACTGGCGATCCTGGCATAGTGCCAGATTCTGCACACATCACATGTCCAGCCTCAGCCCGCCCCGTGAACCATGTGCAACCGAGCTGACTGCGCAGAATTGCCGCAAGCTCTGGACGATCTGCGAGAGCCCCTGCAGTGGCGTGCTCTTGTAAAGCTTCTTTGAATGCTGTTCGGTCAGCCGCCTCCTCGAAAAAGATTGCAGCTCTTTGATCGAGCCAAGTCGCAGAGGTCAGCTGCTCCGGGGTGGCACTGAGAATCTCACGGGCAACGCTGTAATAGGCCGCTTTGCAGTCAACGAAGACCGCACCCCCAGAAGAAAGGTTAGCATTGAGATGCATCAGGTGAGCCCGGGCGCATGCCGCTGGAAGGGCAATGGGGGCTCCCGAGACCCCGCCGTAGTGCACACTAGTGCGGAGACCCAAGAACAGATCGTGCAGGAGCGGTCTGTATGCTACCTGGACGGCTTTGGCTGACGGCTCGAGGAGGAGCACCGACCTGTACCCCTCCAGCTCGTCCGATGCTTTGCCCGGCTTGGGTACAGCGACGGCTGCCCCACCGCGCCACTGGAAAGGGAAGGGGTCGCGTAGGACTGCTTTCAGCAGGGCTGGCCAAAATGCACAGGCAGAAGACACAGGGTCAACCCGGAAAACCTCAGAGGGCAGCCCGGAAACCCCTGCGGCCTTGCCGGTCTTCAGGCGGCTGAAGGCACTAGCAAGCTGAACTAATCCTGGGATATGTTCACCATCCAGCCCGGTGGGGGTCTGTGTGCGCGTCGGGCCAGCCAGGGCCTGACTCAGTGGGACAGGCGTGGCGCGCTCCGGCACAGCAAAATGCTTAGTGAAAGCAGAGAGGACTGCTGTGCGCCCTATGGCCGTGGCTGATGGTTCTTTAATGACTGGCACAAGCGACGGCGCCCGGAAGCGGCGCCCGCATCTCAAAACAGCCCGAAGTTTGTGCTGAAACTCGCGGGGTCCAGCTTCGCGGGCCTGTTGGATGCCCCGACGGGCAAACGCAGCCTTGTCTTGCAGCATGGCTTGGCCAAGATGGAGCTTGGCCTCTTTGAACCTGGAGACCCAACGCTGCTCACAGTCCTGTGCCAATTCAATGGCTCGCCTGCGCTGCCCATAATCTGTCGGTCTGCCTCTCCAGAGCGTGAAAAAAGTCCAGAGGATCTCATGTTTGCAGGGTTGTCGGGCAGTCTTTAGACAGCGTTGCAAATGTCGCTTGTGTATCACGAGATCCACGGTAGCATTCGTGAGGGCAGGATTACGGGCCTTGCGAGGCGGAGCTGGCAGCTCAGCCAAGCAAGCATGCAAGTGGCGATGGATGATGTCAACATGGGTTGTGCTGTCCACAGACCAAGGAATATGAGGAAGTGTCGTAAGAGCACGCTGTACAGCGGCAAGGCTGGCTGGAGTACGCAACTGAGCCGGGCTGATGCGCCCATCCATCCTTGGCTTGCGACCTTCACAACAAACATTTAGTTCCAGAGCCACGGGCCAGTGATCATGCCCACTGTGCAAATCACCCAAGTCAGGGGTTGGAAGCATTCGTACTGCCTCACTCCATTCCCGAGGATAGGTGATGTAGTCCAGAAGGGCGGGCTGACCATTAGGGCTAACCCACGAAACGAGGGGAAGTCCGTTACAGTCACACTGGGCAGACACGTCCCCTCCTGTAGAGCACGCAAAATCCAGCAAATGCCGTGCATTCCCGCAGAGGGGGGAAGACTCAAGGGTGCGCGGAGCGGCGGGATCACACTCAAATCTGGCGTTGGCATCCAAGCTGGTTATGAGGCAGTATTTGCGTGGGATGCGACTCACGGCTTCTGAAAAAGCATCCCACCAGGCCTGCAGGACTTCTGGGGGGCTCACGGAGGGCGGAGCGTGACCCGCCACGATTGCAAGGTCGATGCCGTTGACCCGACTGAGTACGATCAGGCATTGCTCTGACGCATGGAGAATGGAGAGCTCGCGGTGATCCCAGGTCAGGTGGGTGCCAGGGTTGATCCAGATTTGCACGCCGCCAACCCCGGCACTAGTGCTGCTAGCGCTAAGTATCCACCAGCCCTCAAAGGAACTGAAGCCACTCTGTTGAACCCGAGTCTCCTGGAAGCAGGCGACATCAAAACCAGCTCGTCTGGCCCCTGCAGACAGCATGGCCTTCGCCGTGTTGCCCCGGAGGGAGAGGACATTGTACTGTAGCACCCGGAGTTTAAGACATCGAATCGAGGTCTCCGTTTCTTCAGTGCCAAGGCCCACCAGAGATGCAGGAGGCTGTGTGGCAGGAGGCTTACTTGAGGAAACCATCCAGGTCCCGGTAGGCGAGAGTAGCGGGATCCCTATGCGTGTGGCGAAAGCCTCCTGTGTCATCCATAACCGCTCGAGAACATGCTCGGCTGCAGCCGTCTTGAAGCCGCCAAGGTCGGTCTGCCATGGAGAAACAGAGGGGCTTTTGCCAACCTGCTTGGCAATGGCATCTGCCATGTCGTTGAACGCATCTCCACTATGAGCCGGGACCTTAGAGACCGATACCTGCACACCTTTGGCTCGAGCAAAGATCAGAAGTCCGACCATAGAACGGCATGCTGGGTTGGCCAAGTCAATGCCACCCGCCCCGTCGGCAACCAAGATGGCCGATGCACAGTCACTGAAAACGTGGGCCCGCGGGGAAAACGAGCTCCCGATAACGGCCATGGCATGCAGGAGAGCCTCGACCTCCCCGTCATAAGCAGAAGGCGTTTCTGTCTGGGCAATGGCAACCCAGTCTGCCAAGAAACCGATTCGGAAAAAACGGTCACCAATGCGACCCAAGACAATGACTGACCAAGTTGCTTGAGGGTTGCCAGGGAAGAAGGATCCATCAGTGTAGATCAACAGCTCTTCACAAGTACTACGGCCATCCCATGGAGGCAGCAGGGTCCAAGCTAGAGCGTATGGATGAAATTCCCGGCTCAGCAGCGAAAGGTCCCTGCATAGGCCTTCCAGACGATGACCCGCTAGGCAGTCAGCAACCATGTCTGAGCAGACAGCCCAAGCAACACTGGGCTTTTCCACTGGAATCAGTGCATCAAGGTGGATCGCTGCAGACCGCAAAGGAGTCGGAGGGGTCTTTTCGTCTTCAGTTGTCAGGGTAAAGCGCCTCCGCCCCAATGGGGTGGGTATTGAAACAACCCTCGCAGCCTCCTGTTGACAGGGTGGATCAGATGTTGGCTTAGAAACAGGAAGGGTCGACAGGAAACCGCCTTCAACTGCGTCCACATCCCCCTGCGGTACCTCAGTCGAGGCAATGGTTTGTGAGGCCTGTTTGCTGTATTCCCGATCCAAATCAGGTTGTCCACCCAACATGTGGAGAACAGAGGCCGTGCGCTGCAGTAAGCTGACACCATCAGTGGGGGCATCGGTATGACCATCAGCGGTCGGCTCCCCCAAAAGGGCAGGGTGCGGGCCATCGGACGCCACAGGAAGGCCGGGTATCACACCAACCTGATCCGTTGACCCAGTTGGCATCACCTGAGTGTGAGTGCCCACTGTGCAGGACGGGGACGCAGGGTTATCAGCCGTGGCGGGCGCAATGGGATCTGTAGAGAGCTCTGGAGTATCAGCGTGTAGTGTGCTGGTTGTCGTGGTAGTGAGGCAGAGCCTCAGAACCATGCCAGATTGCCATCGTCGCTCCGGGAGGACATGGAGATACGGTGCAATGGGCAGTGGGCCCAGAGAGGTAGCTCTGGGAGGGACCAAGAGCACAGCGAAATGATCGTCCCATCCGCATGCCGGGAGCAGGACTGTCGACAAGGTGCTGCCTCGTGCGATCGACACAAACCTCGCTGTAATCCTCTCATTCCGAAACTGCGCACCTGCCCCCAAGATCGCGCAGTCCCTAGCAGGGAATCCGGCGAGATCCACGAGGGCTTCCCTCATCTCTGAGTGGCTTGCGACGTAGACATGTTTTGTCCTGAACGCCATGGGCGCGTGCTCAGGGCCGAGGATGAGACACCGCCCTTCCTCATGCCTGTGGAAACCGGCCTGCGCTCTACGGTGCCTCGCGCCGAGGGAGACAGGGAGTGGGAGACCATAAGCGTATGCCTCTAAGAGGGGGCACGCTTCAAGCACAACGGTGGTAGGCACATGTAACGGGAACGAGTCAGCTGTCCCGGGTTGGACATAGTCACCAGGCTCAAGCTCTCTTGGGCAAAGGCTAAGCGGGGCGCCATTGATGCAAATTTGGCAACTGGTTCCCTGCACAACAGTAGCGACTGCATCCGCGCAACTTGTGCTGAAAGGGCAGGTGAGCGAAGCCAAAGTACCCGCTGGACCAAGGTGTCTTGTATCACACAAGGCGACTACAAGGTCTGGCGTCTCAGAGATGACAAAGTTGGCCTCCAGGATGGCCACGTTGTCAAAAGGCTGTGCCTTGGCAATCATCAAGCGATTGTGAGGCTGCAGGGCCCCTGTCACTGTAGCGACCTTCTGCACGAGAGAGTCAAGCACACGGTCTACCTGAGCACACGGGAGGGCAACGACGGTCTCCTCTGCATGGAAACCTCGGACCACTCGAAGACGAAGTGCTTGCACCTGTGCCACGTGGTATTGGGGAAAACGGCCAGGGGGCAACGGTGGGGCCCGCATATTCGTTGTGGTGACGGTCGTGTGAAGATGGCCCCTGCCGGGATTAGCAAGCCCGCTATGCACAGCGACCGCTCCGGTGGCAAGGGTTTGCTCGATCCTGACATGCTGGACAACATCGAAAAGTCATCGGGGAGAGCCGAACCGAGGACCCCTAATGCGTCCAGTGCAACAACTTGTCCGTTGAACCAAGGCTGGTAAACTCCCGGTGGGGAGGGACGAATGCCATCGACATATTGCAACGCAGCCGCAAGGAGCACCCCAGGCCGGTGGACTGTGGTTTTGATTGGCTGCCCGACAGCGAGCGTATCCAGTGGCTCTGGGTCAGCGGCCCTATGTAGAACAATCTGCGGTAACAGTAGCCCCGGGACGGGAACAGTGAGTACTCGCAAATGTGCAATAGGAAAACTCGTGGCCTGTAGTGCCAATGCAACGCAATCCTGGAGCGTGGATTTGTGGCCCCTATCAAGAACCCTAATCTGGTGGACAACATCAAAGACAGTGAAGTGTCGCGTTTCCGAGGCCTCTCGTCCTCCCCAAGACGAGAGGAGCACTTCCTTGTTCATGCTCGCCTCGCCGCTCAGGTAATCAGGCAGGACTTTAACAGAAGCGGCACAGAGGGTTGCGATGTCCGAGGGCACAAGTCGCCCCAGCAACGCGGGAGGCTCATTAGCAGGTCCGTCCTTGCCAGGTGCTTGCAAAGGACGGTCAACAACATGACTGCCTGGGACCTCGAGACCTGAAATGGAGACCTGTAGTAATGCCGCGTTGTCATCAGCTCCAGCGTGTGTCTCCACAGACAGGGCTAGGGGGTCAATGTGCCCCGTTGGGACAGGGGCGTGACACAACTCCAGCCACTGTACAGAGGCAATGTCCTCTGGTAGCACTGTACGAACCGCCCCATGCGCATCCCTGAAAAAGAAGCGATGCTGTGCCAGTGGGTTCAATATGTCGTGTCGCAAGGCAGGGGCCCCAGCTACTACCTGCTCAATTAGCTCCGAACTGCTTGTGCCCGGTCTGAGGAGGAGGGGCAGCACGCCCTGCTTGTGTGCCCTCAAGTCGATCGGCACAGTGCGGGCATTGCCGATGTTTGCCCCTTCAGAGAGGACAAGCTGGGGGGTAGGAAGCCCCGGCAGGCTGCTCATCAACAACTGCATGCCATGGAGACTGGCCTCGGCAAAGTTGGTTCCATCGCGGAAGTAGTCTTGAAGAGTCCAATGAGCATGTTCTTGGGCACGAATCGGGTCATGCCCGGCAACAAACACGGTGTAAGAAACAGAATCTGAAGGATCCGATCTCTGTACTCGTAGTGCCGGTATCATGCGGAAGGCAGTGACCCGCACATGGAAGGCCGCGCTCAAGTGGAGCCCAGTTGGGCGCAGGTCGAGGTTCTGCAACACGGCAGGTAACAGGGGACGTGATCGGCCAGCCACTCCTTGCAAGGCAAGTTCAAGATCCGAAGGGTCAGCATAGTCAGCAGGACCTGGGGAAGTTGTACTTGTGGAGGTTGGCTGCAGCTCCAACAGTTCAGCTGGGGGCAGGTCACATTGCACAGCTTGCAGGTAGTCAGGCTCACCTGGCCCTAGTCGCAGCTCGACAAAGGGATCTCTGCCATTGGCAAGCAACTGATAAACCTGCTGTGCCTGTCTGTCATGTGGGCAGTCTGCGCTGCACTGTTCGACAAGCTCCTGGAATCTCACATGCGGCGCTATGGGCAGGGTGCACACTCGCCCCTGAACCCTACGGAAGTCGACAGGGGTGACGACTAGACCACGGGGATCGTCTCGCATGGTGGCTGTCAGCTGTGTAGGGGGTAGCTGCTCAAGTCGAGTATGCAGGAAGTTGACCGATACCAGTCTGGGATAGACACTGAGCAGATCGGCAATAATGTGATCGATGCTCCATCCGTGGGGTAGCTGGCGGGTCGTGCTGTGATCCGCTGAGGTAAACAGGTAAACACGACATAGCGGTCACGGGTCGTGTCCTGCGAACTGACACCGGAGAGCCTATGTCCCGCATGCCAATTGAAGCTCGCCAGAGAACGGCCACGGAGCTCCGGGCGGTCGAGGTGCTCGGGCTGAACATGTACCCTTGCAGCCAGCTGCATCCTGAGATCAGTGAAACCCACGTGTTTAGGGCTCACCAGGCCAGAGGGCATGTCACCCGGGACGCCTGCAATCGTAGCAGTAAAAGCTGGAGCGTTGCTTTCCTCTGCTTGAGACCGGGTGCACTCAACAGGAGGCACACCGGAGTCTATGAGCCGAGATGCTTGGATGAGTGGAACCTCCGCCGGGGAGACCGGGGCCGGAGGGAAAGCGGCACGCAAGGCAGGACGGATTGCAGTGCCGCCAACAGGGCGCACTTGCTGCGACAGGGGGAAAACGGCCGGGGGCCGAAACAGGTAGTCCCCGGAAGGTAGCCGGGTAGGCATCGCCTGCATTTGCTGTCGGTTTGCTGGAACCATGAGGGTCGGCCAAGGTAGCCGCGAGGCTTAGGCAAGGGTCTGACACGGCAACGTCCGGCGCATGGTGAGGAGCGTGGGGGCCCGCTAGGTAGGCGGAGGCCGGGGTAGCATCTTCGAGGTTCACTCTTCCCGCCCTAACTTCGCCCTGTACAGCCATCCACGATGGCTCAGATGACATTATCCTGGCAATCGGTGTGTCGAATTGGTTCGGTGGGTGGGCTTGGCTGGCTCGCAACCGTTTCACCTTCTTGGTATCCTAGCTCAATGGAATGGAGTTTCACTTTCCCTTTCTCTGTGCGTGAAAAAAAAAACCCTAAACTCTAAACCCTAATACTGAACACGCACACACACACACACACACACACACACACACACACACACACACACACACACACACACACACACACACACACACACACACACACACACACACACACACACACACACACACACACACACACACACACACACACACACACACACCACCACACACACACACACACACACACACACACACACACACACACACACACACACACACACACACACACACACACACACACACACACACACACACACACACACACACACACACACACACACACACACACACACGCGTGCACACATTTTCATGTACATGTCTCAGACTAACTGTAACAATCGCTCGGCATCTCGCAGCCGGCGGTTTCTCAGTCAAGCACGTCTCCAGAAAAAGAGATGGAGAAGGATGCTGTCGCTAGTAGGATCATGGCTCTGAGCGAGGATCAAGTTGCCATCGGATGACCCAAGTGGAGCATAGCCTGCAAGACCTTTTAAAGGTCGCCATGAAGCGGACGAATGACATTTTGGATTTGAAGGAGATCTCTAGGAGGCAAGCGGCACAGATAGCTATTTAATCTTGTGCACGAGGTGGAAGGCCTCAAAAGACAGCTGCATGACCGCAGCAGATCTCCAAGTTCAAGAGCATCAAGACCGACCGCCTTCTAAGGGCTGACGCTGTGTGCTTGGCAGTTTTGTTGCAAAGAGACAAATTTCAAACAAGCAGGTTTTGGGATCGTGAGGCTAAAATTCATCCTGCTTGACATGATTGCTTGTCGTGGATGCTCTGATGTGTAGTAAGTTGTCGTTCGAGAGCAACCAGCATGCTGTGTGAGCAGACGCGCGGCTTTCACAGTCAGTCACTCTGAGCACCTGGGGCTCGAGAGTGCGACATGCCCCTTCCTGCAGTGGATGCCTTGCAGCCTCCTTGGATTCTGTCGTGTTCTGGTCTCTTATCACTGGGGTGCTCGGTTCTGAGTTCAGGTCGGAGGCATCAGATGCTGATGCGCAGGCTCGGTAAAGAGTGCTTTTCAATGTTGGTTTCCAACTTTTTTGGCAAGGCTGCCTGCAGCTCGACCTGGAAGTCCAAGGTGGTCTGATGCTCACCTGCCGCAACATGCCTGGAATTGGGATCATCTTTCGACCATGCTTTGCTGCAAGGCTGCTTCGAGCAACATTGCCGGCAAGGAGGCCCAAGTCCTTGAAGTTTTAAAGATATTGGTATTTCATACTTATCTTTTGTCTTCATGGCAGGCCAAGATGATTTCCACGTCATGCAAGATGCACGGGAAGCAGGCCTCATCCTGTGTCCTTTCAGGGCATCTGTTTTGGAAGGTTGCTGTGAAGTGGATTTTTAAATGAGGGAATTTTAATGTCACTACTATGCAATGTGAGCAAGCTATAGATCATGATCCTTGGTCCCTTCAGCGTATCTGCGATAAGTTTTCTTTTCTTTTCTTTACCCATCATGCCAGGTCATGGCTTCGACATCTTCCAAAAAGCCCCGGAAGCAGGCCTGATCAGGTGTCCATTTTCAACTCATGCAGGGGCGCAGCAACTGAGTGCGAGCGGTACGGATGCATTGTGTGTAGCCGCTACACTGTAGCGCTCAGTCCGAGTCTAGAGTGTGTTACGCCACCATGCGGCCGGTAGCAATTTTGCTCAATATCACATATTATCCTAAGCCTAGCAACAGGCTCCTCTTAAAGCTTTGTAGATGTTACTTTGATATTTGACAATTGACCTGCCCAGCCATCATGTCCATGATCAACTCCAACTCGCTTCGTGCTCGGGATGTGGAGCTCTTGATAGAGGCGCTCAAGGGCAAGCTGAAAAACAATGAAGAAGACTTGATCACGTTCGTTTGCATGCAGCTTGAGCATGTGGTGGAAGCCCTGCGCATGAGCACAGGAGACTGGTGCCAGGTGCCACGCGTGTCTATGCATGCTTCCATTGTCATAGCTTGCTTTACCTCAGCGAGATTGACTGTGGAAAACGGCCCGGGTGCAGCGACGATTGTGTTGCCTCCTGCCGATTATCTGGTCCGCCCGGGGCCTCTCAATGTCATTCTTCATGATACCTATGACAGCTTGTCAATTCCAATGCTGAAGGAGCATATTCATATGGTGCGAGGCACGAAGCTTGTTTTTGAGCAGTTTGGATCCACCTTCAAGTTGGTGCCCCTGCTGCAAGTCTGTTTGGCTGAGCTAGAGCCTTACTTGGATGAGCTGGGAGACAAGATGGAAGCCCACCTTGGAAGCTTGACCGTTGCTCGTGGTGGCATTTTGGAAACTATGGACTAAGCTGCGGCTGAATCTGAAAGATTTTGGGTCATGTATGTGCATTTGGGAGCCTGCTGCAGCTGCAAAAGACAGTCAGCCAGCGTCTGTGCACACTACACATCATGATGCTTTGTCCTTTCAGCCACTATCTGCAATGAGTTCTTTAGTTGTTTCCTGATGGCAGGGCAAAACTTCGACATCATCCAACATGCCCCGGAAGCAGGCCGCATCTGGTGTCCGTCTGCAATTTCGAAGTTTGCTTTGTCCTTTCAGCCACTATCTGCAATGAGTTCTTTAGTTGTTTCCTGATGGCAGGGCAAAACTTCGACATCATCCAACATGGCGCGGAAGCAGGCCGCATCTGGTGTCCGTCTGCAATTTCGAAGTTTGCTGGGCCTTTCAGCCACTATCTGCAATGAGTTCTTTAGTTGTTTCCTGATGGCAGGGCAAAACTTCGACATCATCCAACATGCCCCGGAAGCAGGCCGCATCTGGTGTCCGTCTGCAATTTCGAAGTTTGCTTCCCCTTTCAGCCACTATCTGCAATGAGTTCTTTAGTTGTTTCCTGATGGCAGGGCAAAACTTCGACATCATCCAACATGCCCCGGAAGCAGGCCGCATCCGGTGTCCGTCTGCAATTTCGAAGTTTGCTGGGCCTGGGGTGAGCTAAAGGACGGAAGGTCTGCAATGCGAGGACCTACAATCCATGACAAGTCAATGTGATGCATCGGTTGTTTCAAACGTCTTGTTTACTGTGACTTTACTTTGTGTTTGAAGCCTTACGACATATTGCCGTGCACCGTACTTAGAGTCAAACTGACTCCTCCTCGTTGAACTCTTGGGAAAAATACTACTTTCAAATTTCGTAGGTGCTGTGGAGGGTCAGCTGAAGAATGTGCACCAGCTGGCCTATCGGCTCCGTGGTGACCTGGGGTTGTCGTCCGTCTTTTGCACCAAATGAGTCTCAAGCTGCTTCTTGGCTTGGCTTGCTGGCAGGCTGTTCCAGTGCTGATTCGAAACGGCTGGCAGTAAGTTGCAGAATCAGTGATTCTGCAACTTACTGCCAGCCGTTTCGAATCAGCACTGGAACATCAGGCTGGTTCTGCATGCGGCTGCGAAGAATGGAGAAAGGCGAAAGGACCAAGCTGGCCAGCCCACCATGGGCTACCTGTCGCAGGTAGTCCATCGTTGGCTGGCCAGCTTGATGGCTTCGCCTTTAATGCTGTGGAGGGTCAGCTGAAGAATGTGCGCCAGATACAAGGCTGGGAGGCAGCATTCGCTGCCATTAGTGGCCGACGGCTCCGTGGTGACCTGGGGTTGTCGTCCGTCTTTTGCACCAAATTCAAATGAGTGTCAAGCTGCTTCTTGGTTTGGCTTGCTGGCAGGCTGTTCCAGTGCTGATTCGAAACGGCTGGCAGTAAGTTGCAGAATCACTGATTCTGCAACTTACTGCCAGCCGGCTTGGACTTCGCATATGCTGCGGCCTTGCAGCACCGTGCGGCATCAGCTTAAGAATGTACAGCAGATCCAGGCCTGTGACAGGCATTTTGCCGCGATTCTAGGTGATGGATCGGTGGTCGCATGGCCACAATAGAAAAAAACACTTTACTGAGCCCGGGCGGGTGTCGATGATTCCCTCAGCCATGTCGTCCGTGCGGGTTTTGTTGGCGACTGAGTTTCACTCCATGGATTCAGAGACGAGGATGAAGCGAGCACGCATTGGAACACGTGATTTGCAGCCGGTGCGAATCCAATCATCCACAAAGCTTTTATGCGGCCATTTTTGGCGATGGATCAGTCGAAGCGTGGGGTTCTGATGACCATGGTGGTAACTGCCGTGCTGTGCAGCATGAGCTGTGGGACGTGCGGCAAATCCAAGCCACCGATCGTGCTTTTGCTGCCATTCGTGCTGACGGCAGCGTGGTCACCGCGATTTTGCAAGACAGATCCGTGCTCACTTGGCTTGGGGCAGCGAGGGTGGGGGCAGCGAGGCTGGGGACAGCTCGTCTGTCCAGAGTCCAGGCGCCAACGATGCTTTATTTTGCCGCCATTTTTGGCGGATGGCTCCGTGGTTACCTGGGGAATGGGGTCTGCTGGTGGTGATAGTTCTGCCGTAAGAGAGCAGTTGAGAAACGTGAAGGCGATACAATAAGCCACTGGTGAGGCCTTTGCCGCCCTTCGACAGGACGGCTCGGTTGTTACCTGGGGCCGTGCTGGCTGCGGTGGTGACAGCAGTGAAGTCCAGCCCTACTTGCAGAGTGTCACGGGTTACCTGTTGTAAACAGGACTCAGAATAATATTCAGAAGAAGCCAGCCCGTAGATCGAAACACGTTGACTTTCAGTCAGTGCTGCGCAACACAAGTTCG